GTTTTAACATAGGGCTGTGAATCCTGGACAATTAATCAACAATCCGAACAATATCTTGAGGTCTCGGATGTGTGGGTTTTACAGAAGAATCCTTAGAATTCGTTGGACAGCTAAAAAAAGTAACTACGATGTTATGAAACAGACAGGTGCTCAAAGACAACTTATCACAAACATCAGAAAAAGACAATCATTTTTGTTTTATTTTTGGCTATGTTATGAGAAGAGGGAAAATGGAACATGTTGTAACCACTGGAAAGTTCCGTGGAAAGAGAGGCAGAATAAGACTGCGCGAGAAGATTCTTGACATATTTTTTGTCATGGCATGGCAGAGATTGTCTGTTGTCTATACGCAGTTGTGTCATAATTTTCCTTTTACGTAACCTACATTTAGGAGAAAGAGTAACTGTTTAGGGATCCTTCGCTCGCATGTCAAGGCCAGCTTTGTGTGCTGGATGTGTCGAGTCCATGTTTGTTTTTGTTTTTTGGAGTACTGTAAATGTACAGTAGATGGGTGCAGGGTGTAGAGGATGATCTCCAGATGGGTGTATCAGACGCAGGGCATCTTGCTTGTGATCGAGAAGTTTTCCGGAGGGTTGTTATGGACGCAAGGTTCTGCAAAGGACATGCTACTGACTGACTGACTGACTGACTGACTGACTGACTGACTGACTGACTGACTGACTGACTGACTGACTGACTGACTGTAAATGTTGTTTAGTTATTTCATTTTTGGCCTTCCTCTAACTCTGTTTTGAGTGTGGCTGAATACTCTAGTTTTGTTTTTTGTTTTTTTAGGTTTTCCCTCTACGATTGCAGTCTATAGGATTAACATCTCTAGGATGAGAATCACACAGTTTGAGATCCAGAAAACCCCTGTTGCACAGCATAGTCATGCAGCATAGTTATATTAGAAAAAACGTTTACGAACGAACTGCTGCAGTCAAGTGTTTGTGATATTGTGCACTTTAAACGTAAAACGTAGAACTGCGGTGTTGAATTGGCTATCACCTCTGTCTGCTGCCCAGTGTTTCTGTGTATGAATTTCCATCGAAGCAAAGTTTGTTAAACTTAGCTGGACTCCAGAGTAGTAAAGTAAAGAACCCTTTTCCACGCCTTTAGGTAGATTGGGAATTTAGGGCTAGACCCATATTTTATAGACCAGTCGGCACTCGGTGAGTGATGTGGTCAACAACACCCCAGGCCATCTTTACTTCATAGGACTTTACCTTGTTCTCATTTAAGACTGGGTCAACAGGGCAGCCAAGGTCATTTTCTGATAACGTCGGGCGCGGCTCAGATTGGAACCAACGACCTTGGGTTCCACAGAGTGTCTAGCCTCTGAATCACAGCGGTTTTACAAAACCGACACAACCTAAATTACAATAAAGTATTCTTAGAAAAAAATATTTTGTCCCAAATGTTTTACTTAGGTCTGGACACCTGTGAGTAGTTGATTAGATTTAGTTTTTCATAATGTCTAAACAGCCTTTAGAAAGTTTCCTCTCGTTGAAATCGACTTACTTCTGTTTCCTATACTTTTAGTTACCTCTGACACAGATGACCCTCCATGCTTTGATGCCAAACTGTCCAGCATCTTATCTTCGCTCTCGGTCTCCTTCTGCCTCTACGATGCTGAGTACAGCAAAATCATTATTACCACCAACTCGCCTATGAAGAATACTGGGTTAATGTGAACACAATTTTAGCCCAAGCAGGGATATATTATTATTAGTCCACGGTTAGCTTGCATTTTTTTTTACACGAACTAGATTTTCGGTCCACTTTAATTCGTGTAATGAAATTTCACTGCAATTTTTTATTTTTATTTTGTCTGGAGAAAACGAACAGAATTTCTTCGGCTTTCATCTCACGTATTTGGCTGGGTCGGTGTAGTGTGAACTTTGGCTGGGTCGGTGTAGTGTGAACTTTGGCTGGGTCGGTGTAGTGTGAACTTTGGCTGGGTCGGTGTAGTGTGAACTTTGGCTGGGTCGGTGTAGTAGTGTGAACTTTGGCTGGGTCGGTGTAGTGTGAACTTTGGCTGGATCGGTGTAGTGTGAACTTTGGCTGGGTCGGTGTAGTGTGAACTTTGGCTGGGTCGGTGTAGTGTGAACTTTGGCTGGGTCGGTGTAGTGTGAACTTTGGCTGGGTCGGTGTAGTGTGAACTTTGGCTGGGTCGGTGTAGTGTGAACTTTGGCTGGGTCGGTGTAGTGTGAACTTTGGCTGGGTCGGTGTAGTGTGAACTTTGTGACTAGTAGTAACAACTTTAAGTGGCCGAACGATTAGAACGCTGGGATCTCAAGTGTAAGACCCGATTTAGAATCCTATTGCTGGACTTCGGAATGTTATATTGTTTGACTTACGGTGACAGTACATAAGTTGCCATGTTACTTCTCCTGAGTTCGCCCTTAAAAGGGGGTAAGGGGCTCAGCTGTGATTTACAGCTAGTCTGCGATATATGCATTTTTTTTTTTCGCAATACATAAAATTTCAGCAAACCCTAATTCATCTCTTTCTACGATAAGCTTGTTAAGGGCCTATTCTTACCAACCACTCTACAACTCCACCTCTAGAATCCGCTTTGGAAAGTTACTCCAATTATGTGTAAGAATCTTGTTCCTACCTCTCTGTTGAACGTTCCGTCATGAGTAAAGATCCGTTTTCAAGCCTTTTAGGCGTATCGGGTATAAGGGAAGAGCGCCTATACTTTTTTGTTGGTTCCTTCACTTAATAGCTATAAAAGCGACAGTACTTGTTAAAGCACTCGCCGTTATCATTGAAAGAAGGAATAGCCAGGCTACAATGAGTGTTAAAAGATGACTTCACTGAAAAAGACATATTTGATAAAACTGCAAACATTCGAATCGCCCGTTATTCGATCATTGAGAATGATCAGAAGTGAGTTCTTATTCTCACGAATTATCGTTTTTAACAAGAAAACGACCCACGAACCACATTAATGTGAAAATAATCATATTATACAACATTTATAACAAAAAGAAAAAGAACAAAATAAATACCGGAAATGCACTGTGTTGTCCAAATTACAAATATAACAAAAAAGACAGGTCTAAAAACAAAGCAAGTTGGGTTAGAAGGGGAGGGGTCGGTTGGAGTTATTGTACGTGTAAAAAGCATTATAGCATTTTTGTTGCTGGTGCAACAAGTCTATTGTGTAACAGAACATTACAGAATGCTCTAGAAAAACGGAAACAGAACAAAAGCCTGCCACCAGTGCAAACTAGAAACTTCAGAAATGATGAAGTTTATGGATAACTGGGGTCAAAGCCACAATGTAATTTATAATGTATTGACAGATAAGAACAATTTAACCTAATTATCAGCTTATGGGGGTCTGTTTAGAAAGGGGGGGGGGGGGTATTTTACGTTGATTGCATCTGATGTGTTCGTCGTGTATCCAGTATATTCATGTAACAGAGGCTTACACGGATCTCTAGAATACAGAAATCAGAGCCTCATTCTATCATTGCAAAAGATTGATTTGTCTAATATCTGAGGCTGTGAATACCAACAGTGCAAGATTGACAGCTCACAAGAAACTTAGGAGATAATAAAATGTATGCATTATTTAATTATTAGTTTGGCTTTTTGAATTGCAAAAAAAAAAAAAAAAATGTGTAATTTTAAAAACATTTTAAAAATCCATCAATTGTTTATCCTGAAAATGTAAAATTGGGTCGTACGAATGAGCACTGGGGCAATAATCTATCCACAGTGGGTTACATGTTACTTGGTGATCGTCGAGCACCATTATACAACTATGTTATCATAAAAATAGAGAGCTGTGCTATACTGATACAGCGGTAACTGATCCGGTAGACAACGCAGAACTATCAGAGACATTGAAAAGTATTTTACACGAAGCGAACAGAAGGGTCCCTCCTAGATATCTCTTCCTGCACTGACGCCACGAGGCATTCCAGGAGGAGAGAAATTAATAATAATAATAGTTATAAGGTTGAACTGGGTTTACTGAATTTTCTCCTGTTAGATTCTAATTACAGCCACTGTGTGGTAATCTTTCAGACTGCAACCTCACAGGAGAAATTAAAACAAAAATGTTTATACCTAAAAAAGAAGATTATGTGTTTAACATTGATAAGACTCCGTCACTAAGAGCTACAAGATATCATCGAAGTAAAATAGTATAAATACAGGAGTATTTATTAGCACTGTGAGAACCAGCATGAAATAGAAGACATGAAAAATTTAAAAAAAAAATATAATTATGTATTTAAGTCTTCATTAAATATATCTGAAGACATCAGAGTCACATATTATGTAAGAAACGCTAAAGCTAGAACAGACATTCATTCGCATCACATGATATGAGGTACACTAAACCGGAAACAGATATTCCACGTCGCATGACATACAAGGGACATTAAACCGGAAACAAATATTCACGTCACATGACTTTCATAAAACACGGGACCGGAAATAGACATTTACGTAACATGACAAAGAAGTAGCACTAAACAAGAAACAGACATTCATGCCATACAACATACAAGGAACAGTGAACCAGAAACAGACATTCACACCACATAACATACAAGGAACACTGAACAAGAAACAGACATTCACACCGCATAACATACACTGAACCGGAAACAGACATTCACAGCGCATAACATACAAGGAACACTGAACAAGAAACAGACATTCACACCGCATAACATACACTGAACCGGAAACAGACATTCACACCGCATTACATACAAGTAACACTGAACTGGAAACAGACATTCACACCGCATAACATACACTGAATCGGAAACAGACATTCACACCGCATAACATACAAGGAACGCCGTACCGGAAACAGTCATTCACACCGCATAACATACAAGGAACGCCGTACCGGAAACAGTCATTCACACCGCATAACATACAAGAAACGCCGTACCGGAAACAGTCATTCACACCGCATAACATACTAGGAACACCATACCAGAAACAGACATTCACACTACGTGACATTAGAACATAAGAAACAGCAAAGCCAGAACACTCATGATACATAAACGTACCCTTTCGTTGAGCAGATCGTCGCTGATGCTCACTTTGTTGGCCAGGCACTTACAGCGCCTCAGTGAGGTCTTGAACCACAGCTCCACTTGGCTGTTGTATTTCATGAAAGTTACATAGGCAATATAACTTAGAAACAAAATAAGTGCCTCCCACCACTCAATGTGGTCGTCTGAGAAGAAACCAATTAGAAGCAACAGAGAAACACTGTAGAAACTAACGTCCCGAAACAGAGGCCACCAGGTTAAGGCGAGGACCTCGCTGCTGAACAATGCGCACATACCGATAACAAACATGATATTAAACACTGCAGAACCAACTATGGTTCCAATACCGACGTCGTTATTGGCTATAAACACACCAATAATGCTTGTGAACAGTTCCGGGGCGGAGCCTCCAGCGGCCATAAACGTCGCCCCGGAAACGTCTTCAGATACATCCAGCTTCTGTGTGATGACCCCAAGAGCAGGAACAAAAAATTCGTCACATACAACGGCAAGGGCAATAAACATATAAACCATGCCAAATATGTGCAGTATTACGGCCCCATGTTGTCTTTGTGTCAAAGTAAAAATGTCTTTAGGGTAGGATGGGTCTGACGACTCGTTAGAATTTGCCAACAGTCTCCTTCCTGCTTTAAAAGAAACTGTATCAGGTGATAACAACATGCACGGAACCTTCATTTTCTCCACAACTAAACTCTTCAGAAGCTCATTGTCTGTGATGCCGTCTTCCAGATTAGGAGCTTTCAGTTGTCCGTCCCAGGATATTGGGTTTATCATGAAGGCGTATGCTGTTGTTGCTAATATATACATATAGCCAATGAAGAAAACACACATCACAATAAGTAAACGTATTCCCCTGGTCCGGCGCGATAAATAACGTCTTAATTTTATAGGTATCATTGTTTGTTTAGAAGAGACACCGGAATAGCAAATAATTTAAAATACTCTGAATTTGTAGGGTTTTATTGCAGTTTGACAAATACTCAAAATCAGTAACAATAATTTAGAAATGGCCTGACAAATGCTCCAAATCAGTTATAATAATTTAGAAATGACGTTAATTTATATTTGCGGGGCTTTTCTATTCATTCTGCACTGAAAGCGAAAGTGTTCTAATTAATGAAGCTTTCAAATGAGCAGTGAGACTGTCGTGAGCACACTAGTGACCCGAGATAAACTGGCGTGAAGCAAAAATGAGAGCGAGCTTACATAAATAATGAGCTCTTCCAGATGTAATTTGATACAATTTTCCTTAGAAATATAAACATATTGACCATGTTTCTCATTGTACAATATTAGTTTTGGTTACACTTACATCTGTCATCAGTAGGTACATAAATGAACAGTAACTGTGTGTAGCTAAATCTTCTTATATCCAGTCGTAGTTGTTATTGCCTTCCAATAAGCTTCTTGAATTGCAATGGAAAACCAAAGAATCAAAGCCATATAATCAGTTATTAGTCTGCAATGCCTTCCGTCACCGTGAGTAACCTAATATCGCTACTTTGTTGGCAGATAGTCCATGAAATATTTGCAGATCACCTAATATGTAGATCCGATTGAGGTAGTTTTATATTGGTGGACGCCCAGATGTGATGGATCTGCGGAAGAAAAAAATATTTTACCGTTCTTTATCGTAATGGACAGTCTGCATGTTACAACTGAAAGCTATCAAAGCAGTGAATTTGAAAATATCACTAATCAAAAAGGCCATGAAAGACAACAACATGAATTGTACGTGGTAAAGATGAAGAATAAAGACACATTTGATGAACCTAACTCAGAGTTTGAAAAACAAAACCCACATTGATGATGAATATGTATCTTGTAATTAACTCGACCTATAACGAGGTACACATATACATTTAAACTAGATATTAGTGTATCACCTACAATATATAAGTATTCACCCTTTTGTTCAAGGATGTGAGTAAATGATGTGAGTCGTGTGGACTATCTGCCAGTCCTTAGGAAAGAGAATAGGGGCTGAAATTCTATAGAAAGATTATCAGAATGTCTTGGACAGAGAAGAGAAGAAATACTGACATCTTGAAAGATCTGAACATCAAGGAGGATTGGCTAATAAACAGCATCCTGTCTCAGAAGCTGAAATATGTTGATCATATCAAGCGCCACGACGGATTGGAAACAAATTATAGCAAAAGGCATGACACCAGGTAGAAGGGACAGAGGCCGACCAACACGAAGATGGGTACAGGATTTAAGTGACTTTTTGAGGCGGGAGAGATGGCGAGATACCGAATTTCTTTCAGGCAGACCTTGGTGAGAGCGACTTTTACAAAGGACCTGCTACATTTATGATGATGATGACATATTCATTGTTTACTTTTTTGAATCGTTACTTTGTAAAAAGAGTACTGATTGGTCTGTAAAAATATGAGTTTGGTCTCATATGCCTGGTGTGCATGCATCTAGCATGTAAGGAAAGCACCTTTACTTGACTTTGTTTTGTATCAAAGTCTGCAGGGGTTTAAACAAAATCCCACAGTGAGAAAAAGAATTTATGATCATGAAATAACGCTTGAAAAGAAGGAGAAAAAATCATGTTTCTGTATTACCAACCGAGTCATACATAATAAATGTGACATGTGCAAAAGCTCACATTTTACAAGTAAATGTTTAGTTTCGTCACAGAAAATTGATTTTACAAGAACACCACCAGAGCTGAAAACATCGTCTGGAGTGTATCTTTCATTAGTTGGAAATTCTCTAACCTAAACCAGTGGATGGGATTCAGATCCTTAAGCACACCTGCCCATCATACTTATGTCTTTACTGAAAATTAAATCAATGTGCAGAGTATAATATTTTTTTCCATGTTATAATACGTGTTCAGAATTTCAGCTGCGAGGAATTACAACTGATGCACGTTTAGAAATGAATCCCCCCTCCTCTCCGCCACCCCAGTGGCTATTGTGGGCGAACAGCAAAGGATGTGTAGTCTTTAAAGAAACCTACAACAACAACAGGAAGGAGGGGGTCGGGAGGGGGGGGGGTGGGGTCTGCATTTTCAAATGAGATTTGCTAAAGTAACAGAAATCTCAGTAGCTTACTGTTGTGAAGAGTAAGCTTCGACTGGCAGTAGTGCAGATAATTATATTCCTTTCTTATGTCTTTGGTTTTTTTTTTTTTTTTCTGTTACATGACCAGCCTCTGCTTTTCATCATTGAGTGGAGCATCTTTCCTCCTCCAATTCCTAATTTCTCTGGTAGATTTGTTCACGACTATAGATGTTATCACTAAAGTTTCCTACGTGATGAGGCAATAATGTTTACTCCAACCCTTCTTAGTCGCCTCCTTCGACATGCATAGTTGAGATTTACCAACACGCGCCAGTCACACAGTTTGCTTTTCTTTGAAACGAAAACACAATTACATTGTGAGAGTCAAAGGCTCTCCTTTATAAATCCTCTTCTAGTTTGTATCAAAAACGTCATCTTCTTCACCTTCTCTTTTATTACTTCGGGTGTAGAAAAAGGTATAAAATGTTTGATAATCTTGCTCTTCTGGTCGCCTCGGCCATAAACACATCGTACCGGTGTACTCAAAGATGTAAGTCGTGGACTATTTCCCAGTCTTTAGGGAAGAGAATAGGGGTTTTCGAGCTGAAATGCTTTAGAAAGATTCCCAGAATATATTGGACAGAGAAGAGGAGAAACACTGACATCTTGATAGATCTGAACATCAAGGAAGATTGGCTGAAAAACAGCGTCCTGTCTCGAAAGCTGAAATATTTTGGTCATATAAAGCGCCACGATGGACTGGAAAAAAAAATAGCGGAAGGCATGGTACCATGAAGGAGTGGCAGGGTCCGACCGACACGAAGAATGGCACAGGATATAAGTGACTCCTTGAGTATGAAAGTACATGAAGTGTGAGAGCTGGCAAGTCACCCAGTTTCTTTGAGGAAGATGCGATGAGAGCGACGTTCTGCAAAGGATCTCCAACATGATGCTGATGACCGTTGTGGAGTTTCTCTGATGTTACATTTCCATCGTATTTTTTGTAATTGAATACGCAAAAACAAAAATGTTAGAAGGGTCATAAATAATAGTTAAACAACATGATTTGCGCTTGCACTAGTGATATACACCACACGGGTATATCTTCAAAATAGATGCAACCATTTAAAAAGTCACTTAGCTTAGTTAAAAATTATTTAAACATATCTGTTAATTGCTCAGGTCTCAGTGACAATAGCGCATTATATTACATTAGATATTGTGCCTACCTACCAGTAAGTGCACCGAATATAGTAAACTAATGTATGTGTCCACCACGAATCACACCGTATATAATCAATATTTGGCCGTTTCCATCAACATGTAAAACGTATAAAGGCAACAACTGTCCGTATCCACCAAGTAGTGCACCAATATTTACGGTGTACTGCTTGAGGTATAGATTGTCTGTCAGAGGCCTACTCACGAGCAACGGACCATCAAGGTCACCAAGAGGTCTGTGACACTGTGTCCGTCAAACAGTACACAGTAAATAATCAAGTATTGTCTGTGTTCAAAAAGAAGTACACAGTATATATTTAACTATCGTCCGTAACTTTACATAATTAACTATTGTCCGTGTCCACCACCAAGAAGTACACCGTATATAATCAGCCATTAACCATGTCCACTAAGAAGTACACGCTATGTAATCAGCCATTGTCTGCGTCTACCAAGACGTACACTGTATATAATTAGACATTGTCCGCGTCCACCAAAAAGTACACGGTATATAATTAGCCATTGTCCGTGTCCACCAAGAAGTACCTCGTATATGATCAGCTAATGTCCGTGTCCACCAAGAAGTATCCCGTATATGATCAGCTAATGTCCGTGTCCACCAAGAAGTACCCCGTATATGATCAGCTAATGTCCGTGTCCACCAAGAAGTACCTCGTATATGATCAGCTAATGTCCGTGTCCACCAAGAAGTGCACTGTGTAAAACTTTTACTATTGCATGTGTCCGTCAAGCAGTACACCGTAAATAATCAAGAATTGTCTGTGTCCAAAAAAGAAGTACACAGTAAATATTTAACTATCGTCTGTAACTTCACTGCAAATAATTAAATTTTGTCTGTGTCCACTACCAAGAAGTACACCGTATTTAATTAGCGATTGTCTGGGTCCACCAAGAAGTACACCGTATTTAATTAGCCATTGTTTGGGTCCACCAAGAAGTACACCGTATTTAATTAGCGATTGTCTGGGTCCACCAAGAAGTACACCGTATTTAATTAGCCATTATCTGGGTCCACCAAGAAGTACACCGTATTTAATTAGCCATTGTCCGCGTCAGGAAGCACACCGTATATAATCACCGGACATAACCACACACACACACACACATTAAGGAAACATCGCGAGATATTTCGATCAGTAGCACAATTAATATAATTTCTTTGAATGACAAAACTGCATGCTTTTTAAATGTAATTGTTCCCATAGTAAATTTGCTGTCGAATTTCCCCGGGGACCAAAGGAGTTAAAACTGCTGTAAGCGCATAAAGTTAAAATCATGTGTGGACATACAACAGTGGAAGCACTACCTTCTGTTGTGAAATCCCGTTAATGTACAAACGTTAACTGAAGAATGTGACTAAGTAGTTAAGTTACCTTTTCTTAGAAATACCGGTAGTTTTAAGCAAACTATTTTTAACTGTTAAATGTCACAAAACACCCTCAAAGTTAGTAGTGTGCGGTAGTATTAGCGCATCAAACTAAAACAGAAGTCTGAAAGAATTACATAAAATAAGTAATCTACATTTACAACACTCTAGAATTATCTAGTCTAAAGCAAACAAACTTACATTTACACTAAAGTTGAATTATCAGTCTGTGTAATCATTGTAAATTCACAGTGGTGTAGAAACAAAAC